TCAAACCTGGGCTTGTTTAGCTGCTGGCACCCGAAGGCATCAGTCAGATGTATGCCAGCTGAGCTGAAGTGTGCCCACAGAGTACACACTGCAGCATCACTACCAGTACTCGTGCCCTCACCTTGTCTACCTTGGCGCTTTTTGAGTTTGATGGAAAAAAATGGCCCACTGCAAACGACAAGTCAAGTGCCAGACAGCATATTTATACATCTTAATTAGCAATAATGAAGCCCAGTACCTGCCAACAATCTGATGCCAGTGGTTACTGTGTCGTGTTGACTAGACTGTATGTCTGTTGTTTGCCTGCTACTTACACGAGAATTGCACAAATAAAATAGGTGAAAGGATGATGTGTTTTGCTAAAACCATTAGATCCAATAACAAACACATAATGATGATGGATCTTTAAATGCAGGTAACACTTGAGGATGAAACTGTTCAGCCTGAATGAGCTTGTTACATCACTTAACACCTAAGCTTGTATCTATAGAAGAGTAAAAGCTGCAGGCTGCAGCATGCCTCAGATTTACAGTAGATTATGAATGAGCAGAGGATGATTATTAGTTGCTCTCACAGTTTGTTATGCCACAGATCATTCATTTTAAGGGGCTTGTCAGGACACGGTGAGTGAGTGCAGCAGATTCTGATGATCTGTAAAGTCCCCGTGATTTGAGGCCATGTTTGGATGCAAACATGTTTAGATCCGTCGGCCGTGATAACTTTGAGCCCTGCACAGCGAGACATTCTTTATGAAGTTATGAAAACAAGTTGCATGGATTTTTTACCGTGAAATAGGCTACAGCCATCCTCCTGACGTCTGGATTTATGGCCTGGTAATTCCCCTCTGGAGTAATTTGGCTGGTACATCTGCAGCTTAGCAGCATTCCAGCAGAGCTCTCCTGTGCTGTGAAGTCAGGAGATGACTGATTGATTGATTGTATTACTCTAGTTTTAGCATGGCTTTACTGAGCTATTGCAGCAAAGTTCTAATGTGATCTATCCAGCAAGCCGCCTGCGTGCTTCTGGGTTAGCCTGCTGTGATGATCACAAATCATAGTTAAAAAGTGAACTTTTGCAAAATAGCATCCATCAACAACAAAACACTTAGTGACAGATACTGTTAGAGATATGGGGAAATTTAACCTCCTTCTTCCACACAAAAAAAATACACAGTAGGATACAAATACCTTTATTTAATTGTGAAATAATATAACATATTGCATAACAGCTGTGGTTGATGATTACATGCAATTCTTCACTGGTGAGAATCACAAAATGAGCTCATCAGTAAGAGTTTCCCAACACTGCTTTGACATCACTGGACACTGATCCCTCCATCTCGCTCCTTGTGGTGCCAATTGCAACACAGAAATGACTAAATGCGAACCTATGGTCTGCTGACGGCTCAGATTTCCCAGCACTTAGGTGATAAGTCTCCGGCAGTAGCTGCTCAGACAGTGATAATGAGGCCAGTCGCTCACCAGCCCGCCGAGTGATCCTTCAAGCTCGACCTGTTCCCCAACAGCCAGGTCCTGGAAGAGCCTGAGTATACAAGCTAAATTACAGGATAAAGAACCACCACTCTGTAGGTTTCCTGCGTACAAGTAGCTACAATTATAGGCTAAACACATACTAAAAGTAAACAGTGTTATTAGTAACTGCTAATCACGAAATTAGCAAATTAAGGTTTAGCTAACGAGCTAGCACCGGCTAGCTCGTTAGCTTAACAACGAGCTAAATCACAAACATAATTAGCTAGCAGCTGATAATAAAAGCTTTGTTACAGGACTTTACCTTTATGCAGAGGCGTTCTTCGGCTTTTTACACAATGAGTCTTTCGATCTTACCTGGTAAATGCACTGTTTTCAAATGATTTCAGATAAACATGAACATTAAATGTGAAACACTGTGTTTGTACCAAGGTGAAGGCATCCCGCGACCTCCGCTCATGTTGTTCAGTCACATCACAGGAAGTGCAGACGAGCAGGACCAGGTTTGATGAAGAATAGTATTATTAATGATGATTTTAATTAGCTATAGTCATATGTAAAGGGATGCCTTCAGAATACCTGTTTTCATTTAATAGTAACATGAGTGACCTCCACTTTAAATAATCCAGGAGAAGAAGAAAAGTCTGATGATAATTTATCTAATTGACAATAAAGCAATAAAATGTGCTTTTATTGCTACTCAGCTACCTGTTGCCACATCTTGTTCACATTGTAAATGTAGTTATGAGAAGAAGTAAGAAAAAAAATATCTAAATATTTTGACTAGTTAAGCAGATCTGACTTTTATTTACAGCAAAACATCTTAATATTTTTTCATTAACTATGTCAAATTATTTTTGAGGCCTTTAACGCATGCAGAATATCCAATGTATGGATCTTTCTTTTTTGTAAAAAACAAACAAAAAGGAAAACTAAGAAATTGAATATATTGAATATGATATATTCAGTTCATAAAATATTATAGATAGGACACCCAGGTCTAACAAAGCCACTGACTTCATGGTATCAGATAATCTTCATTGTGTGTTGTGCAGAGCAACAGTAACACCAATAGTTACCTTGTTGGTAGCATCTGTTTGGTTTTATGTAATAACACACAATAAAATGTGATGAAATAAAGCAGCTGTAAAACAGCAAAATCATCAAGTAGTAAATTTAAGAATAAGCAGACACTGGAAACTCCTCAAAAATACCACAACGTATTATTTGTAATTACTATAACTGTCACAAATACAAACTCAAATATCTTATGGAGAAGGAAACAGTAAGTTAGTAGATCTGATGTCAGAGCTGGCAACTAGAGAAGAAGGTTACCGACTGTTTCTGCAGTTTTATTAAAAGCAAGACCCACCACTCCATAGTGAAATAAAAATACATTATAAAACAGCTAAAAGTCATATATTAGAAGATACTAAGACCATATGAAGTCTCTTCCATAATGTAGAAGAACACAAGGCTGAGTAAATACACACTTCATATGGAGGGCTTCAGGTCTTCTTCTTGCTTTATTGTAAATATTTTAACTCCATAGTTTCAGTATGAATAGATTTTTTATTTTTTTACTGGACTCACAGATGTGCATATTTGAGTTTTTGATTTAAAAAAATTGCATTAAAAAAAAGCTTGGACAGTGTGTGAAATTGAACAAAAGGTGTGATTTTATTTGTAATGATAACAGGATTTAGGAACATTTCAGTTTGATAAGAACAGTTTTTTTTGTTTTTTTTTAAAATTAATTTGTGTACAGGATGAGCTTTGTGTGTATTTGTTGACACGGCTTCTCTTTTGTAGTTCTCCGAGTTCTCGTCTGTATCTGTCACCCTCGTTTTGCTGTTCGGCGTTAACAGACTCTCTCTTTCCTCTGGTTGTCATCTGGCTTTGTTCACCTGATACCAGACGCGTGGCAGCTATCAGAGGAAGACAATACCGTCAGCACAATGCACAACACCGGGATGCACAGCGCGTTTGACACCTGATTTATCTCAAGCACCTATTCAGATGAGTTAACTAGCCAACAAAGAGTCCCGCGGTGGGTGAGTGGGTGGGGTCTGGTGCTCCTGGGAGTTGGAGGGGGTTAACTTTGACATCTGGCCCCCGATCAAGCAGCAAGTTCAGACCAGCTGCCCCGATAGGTCTGCTTTTTTCCCTAAAAACACCTCATCCATCTGCTGGATTTCTTGTCATATAAGTTTCTCCACGATCGCCCGAGGCACTTCCATTCACAGACGCGTGCGGGGTGACACTGATCCCTGCCTCGACGCCCATCCATATTTAAAGGGGTGTGCAGGTGACCTGTGGGTGGCCCTTTCTGGCACGCTTAGGCTCTCCAGTACCCACAGAATCTTACATCACATGATATTTCCTCAAATTACAGCAATATGATATAATGCTCAATGAGCTAACAGGCGTTCATTTAGGAGGCACTCAGATGACACGTGCCGCCAGCGTACAGAAGATGGGATCTGTGAAATTCAATCTGTTGATGAATGTGTAAGGATGACAATGAGTATGCCAATTAGCTTATGAATACAACAGGTGACACCTACATAAAGCCCCAATTACACACTTATTTATGTTCGGTGTCTGCCAGACGGACTATAAGTTAACACAGAGGTAAAACATTAATCATGATGTGTGCTGTCAATTCTGACACCAGCTATCTTGACTTTAACTTTATGAGCCCAGTTGCATCCAAATGTCACTGGAAACATAAATTTAACCCCATATACAGAAACGTCTTACCTATTACTCTGTTAGCATTTTGATACCATTTCAGTCACCTGCGATCTGTTTCATTAAAGGAACTGTGTTATTAGTCATTTTGTATATCCCTGGTGTCCATGGTTACCGCTGCTTGGCATCTTCCATTGTCGGCTCCAACGTGTGCTCTGGCAGCTGCTGCACTGTTCAGATGCACCTCTTCAGGGACGGCTAGATTGAGGTGACAGGGGAGAGGTCATGTTTTAACCTGCTGCGTGGCGGGAAGGCGGGGAAGCCAACCGGCCAACAAAGGCATCAGCTGGTAAACAACACAAGTGTTTGGCGTCCCAAAAGATTTCACACAGCCTCGTCGCACACATAGGCAAATTAAAGTGGAGTTTTAACGAGAAATCTCGCTACTCAGTCGTCAAACGATGCCACTTCTCCCTTTTGCCAGGAGGGCATGGGAATTTCTCCAGAACAAAAGGAAGAGCCGCTTTGAGCAGGGAGAAAACAAAAGCTTGACACAAATCAGCACAATTAGAAACACTAATCATGGTTAAACTGCCAGTGAGATGGGAGTTAATTGAGAGTGGCTTTTAATTTAGCCATTACAACGATAGGACAGGTGTTAAATGAAAGGAACGGCAATCCATTTTATGGAAGATTTGCATGAGATACTGTTACACTGTGATTAAACAGATCTGCTGCAAAGAAAAGAAAGAAACCTTGGCATTGTATTTGGGCTTTTGATCTTTCTGCCGCAAAAACAAACAAACAAAGCAACGATTTTCCTTTACAGTGAGTTTATTGAAAAGGACAATACAATCTTGCTTGTGCCTTTCAAGCTACATCCAGTGAAACGTTGGAAATTGATTATAATGGTGGTGATAATATCTAAAAGTCAATATTACAAACTGTAGCACATGGAGAAATGCATCACCACATTCTTGTGAATTAGTGCTTCTGTTGGCACTTTACATACAGTCACCATCAACAGCGTCATACTGTCGTCATAATACATACAATCTTCTACACCCCCAACGTGTTTCCAGAACTACAATACAAAAAAAAGCATACATTCTTGTCCCCAAACATCCATGTATGAAAGTCTTGCATATTGGCTACAGTGTGAAAATATTAAAACAAAAAAGAAGTTAACCTACCGTCACATTTGTAAACCAACTTATACACTGTACAGTTCAGAGGTGAATACATTACAACGATGCTGTGTGATGAGGTTTGGTTTAAAAAAAAATGAACCCAACCAAGTGGATTAAAGGTTTCTAGATCAGGAAAAGTCATATAATTTATCTAGTGTTAGTGTTACGTAATCAAAACGTGTGACTGACATGCAGAAATGACAAGAATCCAAACACCCATTTAATCAAACTCATTACAATACAAGGCATGTGTCTGAACGGACTGCAAGACACAGTGAACATTCAGAAGTAGACTAACGTGTCAGTATCAAAACGTCCTTTTAGGTGTCCGCCGTGTCAGGGCACTAAACTCATACGATGTTTAATTGTGTTGGCCTCTGTGCACGGGCCGCCATACAATTCTGTAAACTCAATGAAGCTCTGCTAACTGGCGAGATCTTTTATAAACACAGTCATCATTTCCTTCAAAACTGTGTGCCACATTACAAGCACCGTCAGGGGATTTAGCTGGAGCTTAAGTCTTAGTGTCTGGCAGCTGTATGTGGCCTATGGCAAGCAGCATCATATTATCAGTAAAAGACTTAAAAGACTGCCAGAGGAGGATTGTGAGATCCGACTCGAGCTTTATGTCATCTTCATCAAAAGGTTCAATGCATGCTTCGTCAACAAGGAAACAACCCCCGTGTGTTTGCACCGTTTGTCGGAACAGGGCGGACATTTACCTACAACACTTCGATGCACACGATCTATATAAACTTAAACTATGGCACAGGACAACTTTTATTGGAAAAAATTTGCCTCTAAGCATTTCGAGTGCTTTGCATATTCAAACACTGGATGACAAACGTTATGCAAAGAGGCCAGGAAGAAGTACAATAATCATACAGATTTTTTTTTTTTTTTTTTTTAAGCGATGTATGCCTTTACAGTGCTGTGCTAGAAAATGATTAGAAAATGCTTTTCATTTAGATTTATGTTTCAGTATGACATGTACCAAAACACCAAATTATGTTAAAGCATAAAGCAAATGTATCAATCAAGCTAAAAGAGAAAAAAAATGACAGGCAAAAGTAATCAATTTGAACTACTCACCCCTCATTTTTCATTTAAACTAAATAACCTCAGGGTCCAAATGCATCTGACATTAAATGTTCTCAGATCTTATCTTTTGTTATTTCGTCATTTAGGTGAAGCGAGGTGGCTTTAGGGCACATTGTAGACATGAGTGTAAACCGCCCGTTCCATACACGCTATGAGTTTTACTCCGATGCACACAACACAAAATGCCGCTGCCAGAAAGCCACACGTTCACTAAGAAGAGAAACTATTTACAGCTACAAAAAAAGCCTGAGCATCACCCTTAGCCAGCTAGTGATGGAGTTTAGCGCAAATGAAAAATGGTGGAGAATAGTTTTGCCAGGTTCTCTATGTTTATACCAACTTTTGAAATTTCGTTTAATTAAACTCGTACTTTGACTAAACCTCAGACACAATAAAGCCGCGGAAAGCACATTTTCGAACATTTTACAGCCTGATAAAATGTGCAAAAAAAACTCTAAGGACTAGAGGGAATATTACAAAGTGACTATACAGTATATACAAAAGGAAGTATTAAGAGCTTGGAAAGGTCCATGAACACCTGGCCAACTACCAACACAGACTAGTTAAAGCAGCTGGTAAAGCCTAAAAAACATGAAGACACTGAAATTACACTTCAACTAATGGAGAAAGGCAATCAGTGAGAAGCTTTTCCATCATGGAAAATGGATCCACATATCTTCTTAATTAGCATCACACAATACTCGTGATTTTACAAACTGATTTAAACATTTTTGGCATTACAAAGTAACCTTTTTTCCAATACAAAGGAATTTAGCCAACATCTGTGTCACATCATTGCACAAAACCATATGTATCAACAGTAACGGTTTGTCCATAACAAAGTGTCTCAGTTTTGTCCAACTTAACAGCAGAGAGAGAGAGAGAGGAACAAAAACACCCATGAAATGATCTCTTTGGATACACCAAATACTTTAAAGGCAAACGAGGGTCAATGGCCTTGTCAGTGTACTATATATCATTATACCTTTCCGTATTTCAAAGCCAGCCAGAATACATTCAGTAACAGGAGATTTTGGCTTCAAACCCAAAAGAGATCACGTACAATCCAATAAAAGTACCTTCACAGCAGCAGAAAATAAAAAAAATTACTACATGAAAACACGTGTTTGTGAGTAGTGTAACATTCATGGAAAAAATTAAAAGTATCTACAGATACAGTGTCGCAGTTTGTCTCACCTGTCATTTGGTATCAAACAGTGTAAAGGTCAGATACTTTAAGACTGTAAAGCAATTTAAAAAAAAAAAAGATATAAATACCAGAAACATTACCGGCAAACAGGACACGATTGATCATCATCTGATATAGTTTGATATATCATTACAAATTGCAATGTTGAGTGAATGACAGTGACGTCAATACGAAGCATGTTTAACACTGTAGATGAAGCTGCTTTCCTTCAAACTGGAAGAAACAAGTAAAAATGTAAACCTAACCATCATTTAGCGACGACGCTGCTGCTGAACATCTTGCACAAGCACATATGCATGCGTGAACCTCGGCCTCTATCCGACACTGGAAGTTAATTTTGGTACCGGTAGTAAGATCAAACAGATGCTTCGTTTAACAGTACAAACTGATAAACTGACACGACTACGGAGCATCGTTTAATGTGGAAACAGCATATGTTGTTATGACACTAGCGTCATAAGACTGAGGCAACATAAGTGATGGCAAAACAGTAGCATGAGGACAGCTAGCTTCTGACATAGGCTGTCAAACTGTTATTTGTGACCCAAACGACATCCGCTGGTTGTTTACCTTGAACAGTTATCAACGGATTCTCATTAGTACTCAGTGAAGTGCTGAGACACACTCATATCTCATATTAGTATTTGGACCGTTGAAAAAAAACAAAAACAAAAACAAAAAAATGCTGAAATATACCGAGGCACAGCAAATGATGAATTTGTGCCGAGAATATAAATGACGTGAATACTGAGTCAATCAAATGAACAATCGGTTTTGTAGATTTGCACTAACTGAGGGAGGGGGGGTACCGGGATACAGTAGTGCTTCTAAAATAAAGTACCTTTGAAATACATTAAAATAATATTTATGTGTAAATGAACTTGAAAACATTTATAAATAAATTTTGCTCAGCATATACTGACGTGTGCAGCTCGGTACCGTTAATACAAACTGTATTTAAAGGAGATGAAGGTTGTAGAGGCTGTAAAAATCAAATGAATATTAAGAGATGTGATTAAAATGTAAACAAGAACATTATCAGCAGGATATAAAGCAACATGTTTAAGATGTGATTATTGCACTTAAAGTCAGTAAAATGATCACCTCCAGCGAGCGACTGCGAGACCCTTGGTCCGAGAATATTAAATGATAGTCATCACAAATTAAATAAAGAACGTCAACTCAGTAACTGATATTAATAGGAATGTACATTTGTTCTTGGAAAAAAATAAAATAAAAGCACAACTCAGTAAGCTTCAGAGAGACCAGACTCCCAGATACCAACTTCTCACGTTTTCCAGTCTTCCTCATGAATCAGTCTGAATCCATCCGCGTCTGCAGCATAGAGGAGGCTCGGAAAAAAGCCGACGCTGCCTCTGATAGATGCGCATCGTAGTTTAGGTAGCGAGTTTAAGACTTATACTTGATTGTAAACACAGAAACTACAGCTTCGTCTGATCAACCACTTGACCATCTTTCAGCAAATAGCCCAGAAGTGCGACGACAGCATCTGGTAAACACGGATTTGGCAGCATTTGCACTGTAAGAGCTTCTCGGCAGATGATGGCAACTTTTATGTGCAACAGACCTTGTGGGTTCACAAGTGCATACGACGTAGCAGAACATAAAAGTCAAAAACATGGGATTGGATTTGACTTGAATTCAGCTGCAGAATTTAGCGTCTCCTGTTTAAGTACCTAAAAACGCAAAAAGGGAATCGTAAAGGAAGCAGAAATATAGAAATCACCTGCATGACCTAAAATAACCAAAACATTAAAAAAAGTCTTTAAAAACTATACTCGGAATAAAAATGTTCTAACAACTCAATCATAAAATTGATTTGTCCGATTTGTTCCCTCCTATTTTACCACGTGATACTGATACATGAGCTATTGCTTAACCTTCATTAGTAACTTCTCACCCTGTGACTTCTACTTCTTAGAAAGTTTACCCGCCTTCTTTTTAGGCTCATAGGGTGTCCGTAGAATACTTGGCGTTTCCTCCATGACACGTACAAGCAGGTTGTCTATGTAGTCTTCCAGCTCCCTGATGTGTGCGTCTTTCTTTTTCACCACTTCTTTCTGCTTGATGAGTTCCTGAACAACCTCTTCAAAGGACAAGTTGCTGTAGGCGGCCACGCTTTCCTGTGTCACCTCCTGAAAATGGAAAACAATGAAAATGTTCAACTGAAGGCAGATTTTTAGGTTCTATAGTCAATAATTGCCAAGTTATGGATTTGTCTTGTAAACATAGACCAAAATGGTTGAATGATCTGCTATGAAATGTCAGAATCTGACAACGGAGACAAGATAAGACCTTATGTTCGCTCATAGGAGAGACAGAAAAAAAAAACAGACTAATTAGGCGTGTTGGCCTGACGTGACATAAACTGTCATGTGTTTATCATTTGTTCTCTGTTGTTAATAAAGGCTAATTGAGAGCTATTAAGATGTGATTGTTCTCCAGGGCTTTACCATTGACATGCCAGTGAGTTCCACAGCAGATGTTATGATCTAATGTTGTCAAGTGTTTATAACGAATCAAGAGCAGCTTCACTCCTCTAATGGGACGTAACTTTGACACCGAGCTCACATGTTGAGTTAAGTTCTTCTCCTTTTTCCTTAGTTATGAGTATTTATAATCTCTCTGATTAGAGAGGTTTTAGAACAAAATATGACGACTTGCCAGCAAATAACAGTAAAAAAAATTACCCAAAAAATGGAATCTTTGTGTTGAGGGGCTAAATGCCAGACTGCATATTTCTACAATTAAAGGTCAGGCTAATAAATACCAAAATAAGGATGCAACCCAAGCCCAGCTTTGCTCTTTGAGGACAATCTATTTGGACAGAGCAGCGTGGTACGGTATGTGCAGATCATATTGCGCGGGTACGAGAGGAGCTGTAATCGTTTTTAATGAGGGACCACTTTATCGCTTCAGTGCTGGGCATCCTCCCCCGAACGGATAGAGCAGCAAAGCCTTCACCCTGTTTAAAATACCACACTTATCAGCTTCCACTCCCATGCACCATTCAAGCCTCGACTGCTGGGTAAAGACAATGCGGAAAGACCTGGAGCAGGACTGCTTACCAGGTATCTTATCGCTTCTAACAGCATAGAGGCTACTGTGGGGCGACACAAACCAAAATGAAATATTTGCCACAGAGATTAAATGTCCAACGTAAGGAGGGTTTCAGGAACAGAGCTCGGTAACCTATTCCTCACACACACACACACACGCACACACACACACACAACACAGAAAAGACATCTCACTGAAAGATACTGCACTTAAGCCATCTGAGAGGGAATAAGAGAACGGACAGCCATATGGAAGTGGAGGTTGGTTTCACATACAAGTGTGTGTACATGGACGGGCTCGCTCTCCCTCTCACACACACACACACACACACACACTCGAGCATGCATGCGCGCACACACACACATACACACGCGCACAGACAGACAGCATAATAATCAGGAGCTTTAGTGGCTGGTGACAAAGGCCTGGAAATGACCATGAACTGGCAAAGTAATGATGACCATTTTTCTGCGATCAGTAGTGAGGAGAAGATAAGGCGCACACTTGGCATTCTCCAGTTGTGTCATTACAGTTTCTAATGAGCTCAGCTTTGAGAATCTAAAAGCTCAGTCCTTTGAAATCTCTCACTGCCCTCCCTCCCCCTTGCGTGTGGTTAATTAGGGCCTTGAAGCAGAGGAAATGGGAGCTGCCATTTCTGCAAGGCACAGCGGCATGCACGGGGGCACATGTGTGGATACCGACAGCCCTCAACACCCACAAAGAAAGGTGAGGAAAGCCATTATCAGCATTCTCTTTCACATTTTAGGCATCACTTTAGCTGCTGCTCCCTCCGTCCCCCTCATATAGTTTTGCTGTGTAATACTCTGTGAATTGTAGATTTTTGAAACCGCAAAAGAATTTAAACAAAACATAAAGCGGTTAAAACATCGTGTTTAAATAATGTAATAATCATTAACAAAAAAACAAAACAACTAATGACATCTCCGTGCCTTTTCTCTACAAAAAAAAAAAAAAGAAATTGCAATTACAGAATCAGTGCAACACACCACTGTGACTAACCTTTTAGCCCGAAATTTCACACCACTCGAAATTATGATGGGATCAGACATGATGACCGATGTGTGCAGCTGCTAATTAGTTGAATGGCACATCTGAATTTTCACAGGCCTCACAGATCAATGTCACCAGCTGCTATGTCAAATGAAACTTAAGAGTTCTCATTAAAAATCTGCATGACAGTACACATAAACTAATGACACAGATGCCCACCTCCTTTTTTTCCTTCTTTCCTTCTTTTCTTTTTTTAAACATCTCGGTCACAGTCAGGTAAAGCTGACAACTTGTAACAATAGCACCTGCGACATCACGTGCTTTTACAAGAAAGGTTTGCATTCTTACATTTTTCTTGCCAAAGATGTCCTTCTTCTTCTTCTGGCCAAAGGTCATGTTGTCGTTTCCTGTTGGCTTTTTATCACTGCGGAACAATCAAATGGAAAGTTTGTGATCACATTACAAAGTACATTTTTGGGTGTTTAGCTCCTCTAACTCCTAGAGGCTTTGAGGTACCAATCCTCTGTGCTAATAAGGCAAGTTTGGGTGAAGAAAGGAGCAGCGATCACAGGGACTAACAAAAAAAAAAACAAGAATCATGCCTTGTCGAGTCAGTAAATAATATGCTTCAAAACCAACTTTTTTGCACTCATGCACCACATTTCAAATGACCACTGAGCTAGTGTATGACAAAGGCAGCAGTAAAGATGATGGACTAGTGCCTACAGAGATAAGTGGTTAATTGGGTGGTCTATCTCTGCAGAGGATCTCATTACTATAGCTCAGAGGGCTCCGTTATCAAGCCCAGGCACTCTAAAGAGCCACTAATGACACCTTCCACTCTGATAAACCAGAACTTAGCCACAGTGCACACCAACTCCTTATGTAACACAAGAAATGGATGTAAACGGCTCAGTGGAAATGTTTGAACAACAATACTTGACAAGAGAATGAGAGGGAGAGAGGGGAGTCTATCAGATAGTAGATTTCAATCAACAAGGTATTCGAAACTTTATGGGAATGCTGTAACCAATATCCTGTGGAGCGGTGGCTGTCCCATGGGGTAGCCGGATCACGTTTTGGGATTGTGAGATGATTCATGGAATATGATGAAAAACACACAGGAGTGATACACCAGCGTGTAAGGAGCATTGCTGCACAAGAGCTAAACACAGGTTTAGGCCACGTGGATAAAGGCTAAACTAAAGGCACACGAGGAGGTTAGATATGTTTTTTAGTCACACAGACTCTGCACCAAGTTTAAAATACACCGTCAAATCAAACCAGCAGCTTGGCGTTAATGTTTAATGACCTGGGATGGTGAGAAATCAAAAGAAAAGCACCTTTAAATGGAGCATTCATTTAGGCCTGGTGATGACATCATAGCAATATGATTTAATCAACAGCACAACAAAAATATTTGATAGCATGTTCGATAGTTTCACATCAAAGAAATTTAACATGTGACCATAAGACATTTTTAGCAACATCGCCCAGCCCTATACACTCTATATACGTATACACTAGACAGGCAGACATTTGCAGAAGTTGCTGCTTATTTTAGTTTCTAAACTGGGCCCAAGACAGATAAATGTGGAATTTGACTTGTAGCTGTTTTATTTATGTTCGGTGTTCAAGAACAAACATGAGATGTAGTTAAGGAAAGCACGTGTTAAAGTCGACTACACATTGATTTTAAAATTGGATTCATGAATATTAAGAGATGCAAGAGATTGGAGTATGTTGTGTTTTCAAATATTAAGTTTAAAGGGTACAGAGTTTATTCCTTTATATGTTAAAAAAAAAATGCATATCTAACATTTTTACTAAATAATCTACAAAGATGGTTTTGATATTATAATTTGGAATCATATCCTTTTCTCTCGTAAATGTCTGACCACTACTAATGATTGTTTTTGGAGAGAAAATTTTGAATCTTGTCTTAAACACTTGGTATCCATGGTGATTCACACATTAGTCACGTGACTAATTAATAGCCTGTTTATGAGGAAACAAGAAACAACCCCAGAAAACAAACTGATGGAAGGCCGACCAGCCAAAAACAGGAGTACCTGGCTTTGTAGTTGGAGCTGAATGGGTTTGTGTCGGCTTGTGAGTCTCCACTAAAAGGATTGGGGGAACGCAGGTCTCCAGAGCTCCCCGAACGCCCCCCATTGCTGGTCTTGCGGCCTTCCTTCTTTCCCGTCACGCGTTCCAGTAGGCTGACCTTCTCCTTTTTCTCCTTCCGCTCCGCCCGGTCCCACAGCTGCCCGTGCTCCCCCTCAAATGGGTTGCGGTTGCGTGGGAGCGTGGCATACTTCTGTGGCAGGGTGTCACTGATATCAGTGAAAGGGTCACTGTGTGCTTCGTCGTCTTGGTAGCCTGGCACCTCGCTCTGGGAACGCCTGTGAGGGCCACCTGTACTTCCTGGAGGAGAAACCAAAAACATTACATCAACCTGTGACGTAGACAAACTCTATGGTGAGAACCAATCACGTTTTAAAAAATGCAAAATATGTCGTCTTTTTCTTATTTTGTTTTGCTTCATTTTATGTGATTATATGAGACAGATGGAAGTATTATCAGCCTTTTTTAAAAACTAGTCCAATCTCTGAGGCTGTCAACTCAAAACAATCAAATCCATTAGACTTTTGGAGAGTTTTATAGACGTAAAGAAACCTGGATTAATCACTCGTGCTATTTTCCATGTTGCATAATTTCCAACGAATCTCTCATTAGCAGTGATTTGGAGTGATTTGTTAAATGTGAAACTTTTTTTTTTTACACATGCCCTCTACCACCTACGACTGCATTCCTACCTTCAAAAGTTTGGATACGTTCTCCTCTCTGCAATCTAAATATCATAAAGAAGCTATTTCAAAATCATCATAAGGAACCTGCCTCTGATTATTCATAGAATAGTCACACTTAGAGGACAACGGACGAGTCACTGGAAATAAATATCACACAATCCTGACAGCTGCCTGACAGCTAAATGTATATTTTACTGTTTCAGCACAAATTACCACATTGTGTCTGCAGTGTCTAACATGACAGATAATCAGCAACTTATATGACAGATAAATATTTTCAGAGATGAGGAGATAGCCAGTCCAGTTCACACCATTCTGACCCATCTTCTCTTTTGTAGCTGCTAAATGACGCAGGACAGTGCAAGTGACAGCAATTTGCGCTTTGAAAAACCAAAACTTTCATTCATCAGCAAAAGGAAAACAGTGTTCCTAGTATCATTATTAAGCTTGTTAAATTAGACGTTGCAGGCAAGTCTTTTGGTCAGCAGTGTTGTTATTGTCGTCAAGATTGTGACGACTGTTTGAATTAGTTACAGCAGGATTAACTCAGGGACAGAGGTGGCAAATGTGAAGCTGGTGCAGCTGGTAAGTTTAAGCCAATTTTACAACTTGTTTTTAGAGATATTTTTAAAAAAAATAAAATAAATACTGCAGTAACGGTGGTAGCTGGCTGAAACTGGACGGGGAACTCACTGCTTAAACGTGGCATGTACCCTGACCACTTGGATATCAGGACCCTCAGCAGGTCAGTTTTATATAAGACAGAAACAGAAATTAATGAAGGAGCACCACTATCTGATTTAAACCATTAAATTAGATCATAAATATCTAGTATATTTTAAACATCTTTAAATATTCCTTAACCTCTGCAGCTTCTTTCAACATCTCCTGATGGCTCCTACAAATTGCAATAGCATCTGTGTTTACATAAGGACAGTCACAAGTCAAGAAGAAAAAGACACTTACAGCAAGTAAGCAACTAAAACACTGTGTTAAGAGACACCGTAACATGATGCAAAATAGTATAATTCTTCTTCTTCTGTCATTTAAGCGTATATGAAATGAGACCTTTCATCCTCGCTGAACTTTTTTACATAACAGCCTCCGGCTTGTAGCGCTCTCCTCCAGTCTTGAAAACAAGAATATCAGAATGGAACAACAGCCGTATTTCCATATAATTGTCAAGAGAATTTAAAGCACGCTTTTACAACGTAACAAAAAGCAAAAATTAATTGCTTTGGAGTGATTAAACTCAGATGTGTAGTTCTGTCAGAAGGTGGCGGTGAAGAGCAAAACAACACGGAAACAAAAACAGAACAGACGCTTTCAGGAATTGTTTTCAAATCGGGCAAGGTGTAATTATTCTTTCATGTTAGCTGGTATGAGTCATGTGTCACGCTGTCTGAAGGCAAAGACAACAAAAGAAGCAGCAACAGCGGCTCAGTCATGTATGTGAAATGTTTGCTATGTCAGAACCTATTTGGAAAAGGCGCTTCCATCCTCTATGATCGACGTTAACAATGGCTTATTTGTTTAAGTCTAAAACCACCACAAGCAAGCACAAAAAAGGTTTTGCAAATTTTGAACTTTTTGTAAAGTGACACTTCAAAATGCACATTTAAATCCAAAATGGAAACACTTCTAATGAGTCACTGATCATCAGTGGCTTGACTTCATAAAGAAACGTCACTGGCTGTATTTGAAAAACCAAATCAAAACCTATCAGACGTGCCAAGAAGCAAACAACGTTTACCCCTTTGAGACCCCTTTAAAAATGCAACCTTTTTAACTGACAAATCTGGAAAATAGAAGTTTTGCTCCTCACCACTCTCGTCTATGGAGTTCATGGAGTCCAGTTTGGGTCGAAAGTGGGTCCCAATGAGGTCTGACATGGAATGGGCTGCAGAGAGTTTATGGGCCCCAGCGAGTAGCGGTCTCTTGACCTTTGCTTCAGGCTGAGGTTGTGGTTCTGGGGCGAAGGACGGACGGCTGGGCTCCGAGTCGCACACGGCAGAGCGAGGCAAGATGGCTGAAGACGTGTCGCCAAAGCCGCTGTCGTGCTTGCGGCCCTTCATTTTGTCTTTAAGTTTGGAAAAAGGTGAGCGGGGCTTTTCCTTCATGGAGAGGTCAAACATGCTGGCTGTCATGTTGTTCCTCATGAACTGAATGCTGACTTGGATGCGACCTCGTTCTTTCCTCTTCTTCCCCGGCTTGGACTCCAAGGAATACCAGCTAAAAGGAGAATGCACGAAGCTTAGGCTGAGCAAATTCAATGAGACAATTTATATAAAAAGAGCAGGATTTATAAAAATCCTCTGAGTTGATTACACATAATTCAGGAAGACAGGTATACAAAGTCAGAATGTAGTAAAAGTCCCAACACGATCAAACAATGTGACAAATGGAAAAAATAGCCCACATTCTTTCTAATGTGCTCTAACTGCTTCTTTATGGACACCACTGAAAAGGCTAATTTGAGCAGACTAATCCAAAAGCTACACACAAATGCTGGGGCTTAAATCGTTTGAACTTTTTTGACACAAGTGAGAATACAATTTATCATTCAGGGGATAAACATTATTCTTTGCACACTGAACATAAGAAATAGCCTGCTGCAGAATAATATAGACCATTTCAGGCTGCATTTGGGCTTCTATTTGTTTAACCTCTCTGCTTTTTCAACTGGAAGTAATGGGATTTATGCCTTCGCTCTGAGCGAAATAAAGTGGCATTTGCACAAATCTGGCCTTTGTTCAGAAATGCAACGACAAGCAATTGGGAAACTGGAAAGCCACATCGCAGGGTGACACAACAGTTCATACATGCTAATGAGACATATCCTCTGTGTTATAGGGCTTGTGACAGTGTCCATTAGGAAACCAGCGTCGGGATGAAACAAGTATTTATCGGTGCGTTTTGTCTAAAATTACTAAATTAAAATATGGAAAAAGTAGGGGTGTGTTTTCAATTTTGTTCTGGACACTCATCCACCTCCATCATGGTGTGCTTTAATCAATCTAATCATTTTTTTCCTAATGGAGAAGCCTTGAACTGAAAACATATTTGCATAACTGTATTTATTTTACTACCATTACAGATATTTCCTCCTGGATTTAAATGAAGATTTGTTGTATTCCTTAAAGTCCAGCATGAAATTTCAGTTGTCAGTTCAATCCAACAAAAGTGTTGGTATTGGCTTTTTAAAAACCGCAGCTGTTGAACGCTATTCTAAACTGTCTAGCTCGTGGCCCAGGAGCTCAGTCATGAAAGGCCTTGTTGGGTCCAATTCCCAGGCTGTGCGCCGCGCTCAGACTGATCAGCAGCCACAGCATGCCGCTGCCGTGGGGCCGAGGCTGCACCTCACGTGTGTCTCAAGGCCAAGATAAACCTCCCTGTGCTTGGAACCACAATCCTCCCACTCGGGCCCAGACCGCTGGGAAACTCCTCACAATCAACAAACACAGGTGTGCGATAATTATGGGCTGCCTACTCAGATATCAAGACGGGCTTTCCTACCCAATATGTCAGTTCAAAAACATTGCGGATGGGCCGTGGTGAACACAGACCCGCTGTGGAGTGTGGATATAGTATCGAGGGTCCCGGCATCATTGTCAAGTATGGCTGCAGTGTGGGATTAGGCCAACAAGCAACATGAGCATATCCATTACAGGACCTCTGCTGAAAAAAAAAAAAAAAAAAAGTGCACAGCCTCGAGGTGCATCGGTTCAGGCACCTAAATAAATAAAACCCATCCACACTGATTATAACATATTGTGATTCTCCCAACTGATGGGCAAAGAGGAAGTGTGCTAATGTCTTTCCATGCTGAAATGTGCAGTGAGCTAATTAACACCAGATCCAATTTGGTTATTCAGTTCCTGTTTGCTTAATGCAGGGTTAAGAAATGTGTGTCTGTTGGACTTGTACGGGTCAACAACCCAAGTTCAGCCAAATATAATATTTCCTCTTTAAGCTATGACGGTATGTACAGTGCATTAGTTTATTTTTCATTTACTCATTATTCTCTCTCTGCTCAAGTCTTTTGTACAGTAATTTCACAGGGGATAACTGCTATCCCAGCATGGGTTTACTGTAAGGCAGGTAAACAGCATACATAAGTCACCTGTTTATGAAAGGGCTGACTCAGTTAGATAGACACCCACCAACATCACACTTACAGGCAATTTAAAATCTGGAGTTTCTACTTCCCCTTCACTTGCATTCCTTTTTTTGCAGATGAAAACACCCAGACCAAGGCTGAGGAGAACAAGTAAATTCCGAACAAATGAGTCTAGTCTGTCTTTTAGTTGTAAAGACAAAAAGCATGTCTTAGTCACACCTTTAAAAGAAAAAAACTGCCAGTACAGGAGTGGTTAAAAAGACATGTTTGGCCAGCTCCACTAGTTTCAATTAGGCCAACTGGTGCTCACCGTGTCAGTGATTAAGCTAAAAATAATCTCTCAACAATGTAGGCCAATTCATTGCTAAGCCTCAAACAATAGAGGGTCAGCAAGATGGAAAATATTCAAGTTTAACCAATATGTGGTCACTAACTAAGCACAAATGTACGACCTCATCTGTGACAGTTGTGTTAGATAGTTTAAGACTAAGGAAGAAAATAAAAATAAAAATCTTGCCTGTCTGTGAGACCAGTTCACCTATACTGGGCTACAAACAGTTTAACTTCTGCTCTTTAAACTAAAACAGATTTATCTAATAAAACACATTTCTAAAACAAGTGCATGAGGACAATAAAGGACAATGCAATGGTATTTAAATCATGTGGTGTAAAGGAGTTAGGTCATGAACTTAATTGAAAACAGAGTGCAGAATATAACACGCACAACACAGCACATTGGTGTAGCCTCATATGGAAATAACACGCGCGGCAAATCTGACAAATAACAACTGATTTAGCCCATGCTGTAATAATCCACTTATGACTGGAATAGTTCTGCTTTTGCACTTCCTCTCAACAGTCTGGTCCTCTACCAACAAGATACAAGGATCACATAAAACACGAGTGTAATAATCACTCACACTATGATACGCACGATATCAAAATTCAAGATTCACACGAGAAAACTCATATTAATTTAGTGACATGCAAAAGCAGCAGTCCAATCTTTATTAGCTATAAACCAATGACACTGCTCCTTAGGGTGATATTTTAGTTTCTCTTGCACCGAGTGTTCCACAATCTACATACGCAACAGAAAGTTGTTTCAGGTATTCTCTTGCAAGGATCTGATGTGGCTTTACAAGGTACAATAGTCCTTCATCTGCTGCAGTATTGTAAACTTGTGGCCTTGCAAAACTGTTTACATGACAAATGGATAATGATAGCAGCATTCTTTTCACTTACGCTGCCTTGATAATCCAAAAGCAGCATATTTCCCCCCAAAGTTTGGCATAAATGAAACAGGGCAGATATGAACGGGGATCATTTTGACAATCGTTTATTTTCTGCTTGAGAACTGGTGGTTAGCCTCTTTTAATTGGCTTGCATGCATCAACCGAGGTCATTCTTTTTAAAGTTCACAGCAGCAGAGTAAAAGTAATTAGTGCTTATACCAGAAAGGTAAGCGAATGCAGGCCTATTACGAATTATAATTTGTGTATTGTTGTGACATCGAGGCAATGATTATTACTGTTACTTACTCAGTTTTCTTTCTCTCCTTGTTATCGAATATTTCATTGAGGTTGATGGTCCTCTGACCCAGGAACTTGTCCATCCCGACCAAGGAGCGGTGATTCACTGTAAGGCAGAGTTCGTATACTTCTGGGTTGCCCTCCAAAAGTAGTCCAGGTAATTCAAAGGAGGCTTCTTCCCTCCAGACAGGGTTAAGTGTCTTCTCTGCCACTGACGTTGAATACTTTTCCTTGCCCAGCTGGATGATAGTGAAGGCATCATTGGTGCCATTTTTGCCCTTGGGCTGTAAACCGGTTGCTTGCAGAATAGTGGCTTGGACATGGGTTGGAAACCACTTTTGAGACTGCTCGCCCAGTGACATTGTCAGCACTGGTTATTAACTGAAATCCATTCACAACAAACTAAAATATAATTTATGTAGTTAGTAATGTTAGCAAGTGTGGTGTGCAAAAAGCAGCAGTCACAAATTACTATAGTTTGTTGTCCATGTCGGTGTGATTTATGTGACTATGGTACCAATCTTTACGAGCAATGACAAGTCTGACAAACTGAGCAAGCCTCATCTTCTATCGAATCACAGATGTCCAAGCCACTGGTGAGTCATCTGCAAAAAAGCAGAAACAGAACAGCATTGGTATCTTTCCCAGAACCAAAAACATGACTCATGTCGGAGCACAGGGAGCATTGATATTAATCCAGCTAATGATTAAAGCCAACTTTGATGACAGTCACTTGCACTAACACGTGATTTACAAGTAATACCAGGAAATACAGACTAAACAGAAATTAGATTGCTGTATGATTTTGCACAACATTTATAAATATAGCCGCTGCCAGACAGAAACTGATGATCTCAGCCAGTGACACAGTTTGATGTTGGTCCATTGTCCCTGTATTAGTGAGTCACTCAGTGGGATGATGGCACCATTATTTAACACATTATTTTCAAATTCACTGTAACTGATTATAGAGTTTCTGACTGGGAATTTAAAAAAAAAACAAACAAACTGTGCCCATATTCAGGTAAAATAATCAAGTCATGGCTCTGGTATTTCTACAGCTCATGTAAAGCAACAGCCAATGCAGCCAAGTGCTTAAAACAAGATTGGCATCACAAATTAGCCCTACAAATGATTGTAAATGTTAATTATGGTGTGAATTTACTCGATTAATGTAATTTGTAAGGACTAATGCCCTACAAAAGAGATATAAAATACAACTTTACCAGGTAATAATAAACAAGTCTAGGACCCTGTAGTATTGTCAGCTGTGGATGTTATGGAGATTAACCCAACTAATGCAAATATTTAGACCTTAGAGATTAATGAATTGAGATTAACCTGACTCACTAAAGTTAGAAACCCAACAAATCCAAGGACAGCCTGGATTCCCTGTGAGCCAGTTTCATTATTATTGTATTGTAAGTGTGTTATTTTAATTCATCGTTTTAGTTGTATGTGTCGTGTCCAAGTGTCTTTAGATGACTCACCTCTACAGTGTGTCTCCCAATAAAGAACTGACAGAACCAGCTACGTGAATCACAATGAGGTGTAGTTGTCCTTTAAGTGAGCATCTTTCCACAGGTTTGTCACAGCGATCTGCCATCAAACCGACTACTGAGATGCAATCAGGTGGCGAAGTGACTTCAAACACTGCTAGGCAACATCAACATATGAGGTTTACATGAGTTGTTGTGCTGCTCAGGCTGCAGGACAACGTTAGCTGGACGCGGCTAGCTGCTACTGAGCACACACAGAGCAGCTCTCTTACCTCGGAGTCATGTTCAGCGACACTCCAGGGACACCCAGGGCTTCAGCTCAGCACAGGCTGCTCCCACGGATACATTCACTCTGGGCTTTCTGAGGTTTCAGACGCCAGCTAACGTTAGCTGCTGTTGTTGTAGCACTCCATTGCTGTCCACTGCTGTCGGCGAGAGGCGAGCTTTACTTCCTAGTCTGGCGTCACTTCCTGCTCGCGCGGTGAAAGTTCAAAGTGTCAAGAAGAGGTGGCCGCACGCGCTCAGGCAGACGCGCAATAATATTTAAAAAAATTTTTTTCCGGGGTTGTTTTAAAAAAAAAAAAAAAAAAAGAAAGAAAAACTCAGGTAAAACTTGTCGAAGACCAACAGAAAGAAAAAGAAAAAGAAAAGGCACAAAGAAAAACAAAATAAGGATGTTCTCCACTGTCAGTGTCGAGTTGAGAGGATAACAGACAGGTAAGCAGTAATGAGAGGCTATATAAGTTATTTAAGCCAACACACGGTCCTCTTTAGGATGCGTGCGTGCGTGTGCGTGCGTGCACAGTGTGCGTGTGCTCGAGGGTGCACTTTACTCGAGAGGTAAATCATACAAACATGGGAAGTGCTTTTGTCTCATGAGTGGGACATGGAGGTGCAGATAAGGGGTTCACTTGAATGAACACAGACATGCTTGTCACCCCACTTGACAAGTGCATCTTAACCAAACACACCTGCCTGTGTTGGTTTTATCGTTCTGCCGCAACCAGTGCAGTATGTACACACCAGTGGCCTGAGGCTCCGGCTGGGCCATCCATCAAACTGAGATTATTGCACTTATCTAGAGTACATCTCTGAATGAAATGCTAAGGCTTAGTGAAATATTAGGCTGTACAAAAATGTGAGCCAGATAGCGTTTAATGCATCTGAAGATCTCACCCTCATGTTTTACATTAACTATTACATTAGGTGGATATCACAGTACAATGCCACTTTGCTAAAAAAGGATGTAGACGTGGCAAAATATAGGTCATATGCTGTATGTTACCTTGTAGTGGAAATTGCGTTTTAGTTTACCCTAAATGAATATATGCATCCAGCATGTTTTTATTTTTATTTTTAAAAAAATCACACTCTGCATCTTCAGGTTTACATGGGTTCTGTAGGAGCTTGTCCCCATTATTCATTCAACTATATGATGTTTATTTTAAGTATTCAAATCCAGTGGTCTATGTTTCTGTGGCTAGTCCACTGAACTAAGTAGAAATTTTAAACGCATGGTGTATCTGATGGGTTTAGAAATTGTAGTTTGACTATATGATAATAGAAACTGCAAGATGGATGATATTCTTTGACCATACAAGCCGTACTATTAATGCAGATATGTACGGTCAAGTGTCCTGATTAGTCCCCTTTTCAGAGGAAGTCAACTCTTAATTACATTTTTTTTGTTTATTGTGTATATTTTTTTGCACAAGTGTAAACAAGTAAAGTCAAATCCTCTTCCATGTAGTTGTAGTCCATTGCTGACATTGCTGTGAAGCAGTCAGCAGGACAGATTTTTATTTAAAGAATATATATAATAAATTAATAGATATAAAAAATTACAACCTATTTCTTTTTCTTTGACCGCAATGGAGAGAATCCCACAGTACTTGATATGTCGTTTCTGCAAGGAATTGTGGGATGCCATTAGAGTTAGACGATATAACTAAAATATTAATTACAATAAAATGTTTTGTAGATATCAATAATTATTGATAATTTTTAATGACCTATTTAAGTTTAGTTAAAATTAACCACTTCAGCTTATTTGTTAATAATTTTAATGCAATAATGAAAAAAAAAAACACCTAAATTAATCAATGACAAAAGCGCAATCAGGGTGAGGCTGCACCACTGCGCTCAGGTTCAGGTTTCAGAGACTATCCTGGACGGTTATTGCCAGACAGGGACCTCACAAAGGGCCTCCACGTGCACCCCAATATAAAGTCCATCAGCCATGAATCCGGTCAGGACTGTGTTGCTTAGGTGGAGGTAGTTGGGTTCACAGGGTCGTGAGTGTTTTTAAACTGTGAGGCCATCTCACAACAGCAAATGCAGAAAGCGACAAGAAGACCAGGTGGCCACAGACTAGCATGCCTCAGAAGTCCTGCATGGAAGAGCCGAGAAGAGTGATGGAGGTTGAAGGGCATCCATCATCAAGGGATTTGATGCTGTCTGTGAGCCAGAGAGGAAACACGCTTTGAGTTTGTCAATGCAACAGAACATTGTGTTTTCATTATGTGCCTTTATGCCAGTTTGCTTTAGATGCAGTAAAGTGAACCTATCAAACATTCTATTGAAAAATGTTCTTATTGCTATTGACAAAGTGTCAGTCACTGGTACATATTTCTGTTTTATTACCTAGGTCTAGATGGCATTATCGCCTTTACTTTGTAAAGGATGGTCCAGTGTATCCTGTCCTTAAGGAGATAAGAAATGAAGCACTGAAGCACCTTTCCTTAACATTGGGTAAATTTCACCAGATCTTACTTTCTGATCATTTCATTTGCTTAGAAATCTTCCTAGCAACCGCTATTTTTTACATAAACAGTTTTTCAATTTTTCTTTCTCAGTTGCCATAACAGGTATTTAAAACTGCATATACTGTGACAAAAGCATCTATCCAAATGACCCACTAATGGATAAAAGTGGGATTGTGCAAAATTTGGCTATGTAGCATGAGTTTGCAACGACTGATCTACTAAGAGGTTGAACATAATTGTAAAAAGGCTTCTTGAAGATTGGATTGGCCTGCTGGATTCCTCGTCAGTGTATGGTGGCCATTGTGGGCAAAGTTTGAAGACAAACAAAACCCCAAAGACCATTAGGAGTCCACTGAATTTTGTTTACAACTGAAGACAAGATCTAATGGATGTTTCTGTTTGAGTATTCACGCTGCACAGCTGCTGGTGCACCGCCAAGTGTTTGTGATTTATCCGGTCCCATCACTGCTCGCATTCCTTTTCAGGAATATTTTATTATCTGTTGTGGTTAGCAGTGTCAGGCTGAGCTGAATGAAATAACGACCAGAGGCATGCAGATACACAACCAGGGTCACGACACTCTTCCTTAATTTGACAATAAGTCAAACACTTTCATATATTACCCTCTGTAGGAACATAATACCGCAGTACTTACTCTGTAAGATAAAAACATGAAAGACACTGCATTCCAACATCACCTGTATCCTTTTATTACTCCCCTCGCGTAGAGGATACATTGGTGCATTTAAAAACAAAATATCACGCTATAAATTAGAGAGCAGTAATGTAAGGACACCGTCTACGTTTTGGGGGAACAACACTGAAGGTCATAAACTGTCCAGCATTTAAGTGAACCTTCCCGCACGGCCGAGTCCACATGTTGAACCACATTAGCCATGGCCCCTAACGGCCGCCATCCACTCTGTGCACATGGTTCTGGTTTAGGCCCCTTTCTTCAACACTATATAGGTTGTATTACATTTATTAAACACTTAAAAAAATCTCTGGCTGCAAGGTTGTCCATCTGTTGAGGACAAGAGAAAATATATGAAAGAGGCATGAGGCGCGGCAGGGAGAGGGGAAACAGTTGTGATGTCAGTGCTGGTCTTAATGTGGTGCAGGTCTAAGTTCTGGACGGATGACTGATTTAGAAGGTATAGCTTTTAGCCGAGAGAACAGTTAGATCACAGATGAATTTTAATCAAAAAAGAAGGAGCAAGGCACACAAATCACCTCTGCTTTGCTCTCAGGAATGTTTTTGTGCATGGCTTTGATATATAGGTGCAGATGTGCGACTGCAGCATGACGAGCAGAGCTAAAAAGGTCGGCTAAGCTGGGGCAACATGTCAGCCCGGTGACTCCCTAAAGGTCTTGATTTCTACCTCATAACCTCACAAAGAGGCAGCGAAGCTAACATCAGAAAAACTACAAAATCCACTCATCACTGGTGCAGTCTGTGTGCTCGTTGTTTTCTCACTCAAAACACTTTCAAAACAAAAAACTACTGAAAAGTTTGAACATCTAGACAAGACATAGTGAAATATAATTTTTGTAATTTTGCCTCTGTTCACCACCATAATGTATTTGAAATGATCAAGATTTCATTAAAGTGTATACGTTCAGCTTTAAGTCAAGGAGTTTAATAGAAAAATTGCACTAGGATCAAATGTAATTGGACAAACTAGCATAAATATAAGTAAAAGGATTATTTTTAATACTTGGCTACAAATCCTTTGCAGTCATTGACTGTCTGAAATCTGGAGCCCGTGGACATCTCCAAATGCTGAGCTTCCTCCCTTGAGGCGCTTTGCTGGGCCTTTACTGCAGCCGCCTTCAGTTGCTGCTTGTTTGTGGGTCTTTCTGCATCAGTTTGGTTCATTAAGGGTAAAGCAGCTCAGTTGGGTTGAGGTCAGGTGACTGACTGGTCCATTTCTTTGCCTTAAGAAGCTCTTTGGTTGTCTACAGTATGTTTTGGGTCACTGTCCATCTGTACTGCAAAGCACCTTCCTGTCAGTTTTGCAGCATTTGACTAAATCTGAGCAGAAGGTCTGCACGCTTCAGAATTCATCCTGCTACTTCAGTCAGCAGTCACATCATCAATAAACACCACTGACCCAGTTCTATTGGCAGTCAGACGTGCCCATGCCATAACGCTGCCTCCACCATGTTTGACAGATGATGTTGTCTGCTTTAAATCATGCGTTTTCATTCCTTCTTCATTTTCTTCTCCTGCCATCATTCTGGTACAAGTTCATCTTGGTTTTATCTGTTCAGAGAATCTTCTTCCAGAACTGGGCAGACTTTTTTTTTTTAGATGTTTTCTAGCAAAGT